ACGAGTTACAAAGTCACTATTTGGTATGAGCAACTTTCTTCTTTAACACACCCAGAATTCTTTTAGGACACCCAGACATGCTGTTTCTGGCAAGTTGTCTGTTACATGTAGACACAGCATTGCTTCATACTTTGAGTTAAGTGTTTCTTCAGTGATTCATAGGTCAGTGTTACGTAGCCTAAAAGCAAATCAAGAAAAACATTCCTCTGAAAATGTCCAAAGACAAACTTTGATAGACTTTGAGAAAGCCTGGAGAACTATTGACCACTTTAGTCTGACTCGTTTGGAAGCAAACTATAAAGAAATTAGCATGGTTCAAGTACTGACTACCACCTTCTAGACTTTTTCCAGAAGGGCTTTGTTCCCTTTAAAGCAATTTATTTTAATTGTCATTGGTAGAAACAGCATCACTGACTCAAACAGGAATGACAAGCGAACTAGCCTGATTTGCTTTTTTCTTCTGGCCCCAGGTCAGTCAAACCTTGTCTTTAACAGTAGAGGTTTCCAGTGTATTACCTCAGCATAATCAGAAAATGGAGTCATCCCATTTGTCTGTGATTGCTTAGGGCCACATTTACAAATGTCTTGCACCAGCACAAACTGGGCTTTGGCATTAAAAATGTTGCTGGTATTTACAAAGAGAGCACAGTAACAAAGTTGTGTGTAAAAGGTGGGAGATTTTTGCGACTCACCCTGTTGCGCATGTATTTCTAGGAGTTTTAATTGAAAAAAGTAAGTAAAATGTTATTTATATAGCACCTTTCTAGATAAAAAGATCACAAAGTGCTTCACACACGGATGACAGAGTATAGAACAAAAACAGACAAAAGTTAACAAAATGCAATTCTAAAAAGTTGTGTTTTTAGTTGTCTAAAGTGTCACTAGCATTGACAAAATGGTAGTATTTTATAACCAAGTAGAGAAGAGGAGTCGCTCTGCTAGCTAACAGCTTACAAGCTAGCAGTTAAGTAGGCCTATAAAGTTCAGGATACAGAAGAGTCATCCAAGGGGAAATAAAAGTGAGACTTGTGGAAGAAAATCATATTTTTGTGAGAGATTTTTGCAACTTACCTTGTTCTATGTGTATTTCTGGGAGTTTCTTTCTCAAGATCTAAATAATTTAGAGAATAATTTACTGCTATTTAACGTGAGGGGAAAAGGCTTGTCTTTTTTTTGTGTGTGTGTGTGTGCTGGGACTGCACCTGGGTTTAGAAAATAGTGCAACTTTTTTAAAACAGTAAATCTGGCCTATAGTTTTTTAATTCCACTAACTAATGGCAAGAATAAACTTCAGCTTTCAGCCACTATAGAGAAGAAGTCCTGTAAATCTTTAACTCTGGTTAACAAGGGCATTTGAATAACAACACCATCAGCTATTAGTTCTCTGTTTTTTCCAAGGTTAATAACAAAGCCTCTGTAAAGACTGTTTTATCTTGAGTCACTCCACAAATTCAGTGTTCTGTGTATGAATCCCCCCCTGAAAATAGCTCCTAACAGCTGCACCATTTCTTTCTCTTTAAAGAAAACATGTCCTCCTCCTTCCACTTGAGGAAATGTGCTCTAGGTGGAATGCAACAGAAAGGTTATGATGTCAGTGTTTTCATGGCATTTGTTACCGTCACGAACAAAGGAGTTTAAGTTTAATCGTTTAAAGGAGTGGAAGTGATGATCCTGTATTTCCTACCACTTCAGAATTTCCTCCTGGGTTGCATTTCTGCTAAATAAAGTATGAAGAGTCTGCTGTAAAAGTGCTGTTTTTGATTGATTTTGGGGGGAAAAAAGAGTGAAACATAGCTCTTATAGTCCATAAACTGGGACTGAAAACTGTTTTTTTTTTTTTGTTTGAACATTCGATTTTCCTGTTTATCTCTTTCTCTCCATCTGTTTGTCTCTTTCTTCCCTTCCTCTCCTCTCTTGCTTGCTTTCTCTCTATCACTCTTTGGATGCCTGCCTCCTAGTCCCCTAAATCAGCGTTCATCAGTGCAGCCAAAAAAGCCATGCTCAAGTCCAATCCGGTCAAAGTACGCTTTGCTGAGGAGGTCATTATAAACGGCCAGGTTCCGGTCAGTTCTACCACACAAACACACGCACTCGCGCATACACACAAGCTTGTATGACCTATATAGGCAATGCCAGCTGGTTTCCACTTTAAACAGCAATTTCAATGGATGTAAGACAGTCACATAAATGAGTTATGACATGGCACTTTTATGAATTCCTTCCATGTATTGAACCCACGGCACGTGCACAGAATGAAAAGACTAATCCTGTGCCTCCTTTGCAGAACCCGATGAAGGACAACTCTCTTCTGTTCATGCCAAATGTCCTAAAGGTCTACCTGGAGAACGGGCAGACAAAGTCCTTTCGCTTTGACAGTAGTACCTCCATCAAGGTATGCGTGTGCAACAACTTAAGCCTTACGTCATGAAATAAGCAGCTTCTGCTGCATTTGTAATTACAGTAGGGGGATGTTATCAAGGGTCCAAATTAGTGAGTCTTAACACATGCGCGGACCGTGAAATTCACTTCCATTTGTTTGAGCTCTTTAGTTATTCAGTCAAGGTGACAAAGAGCGTATTCTCATTTTTTGACTTGTTAATTCTTATTCAGCTATGATCCTCTGAAGCTCCCAGAGCGAATTCAGAAAGCAAGAGGCATAATGACTTTCTTTTTTCTCAACCTCACAGCAAAGAATGTCATCCTAACCTGGACAGAAATTGCCTTTTATCTTTCTTACTCACCGCTCTCCAGTGGGTGGGACAGAAATGACCAGTAGAATAAAGCTGCCAGGTGATGCCAAATTGTCAAGTTGGGGTATACAGTGAATAGGAGACAGCATTTACTGACTAAAGACAAGATCAGATCAGAATGAGGTGCTGCACCTGGTCAAAGTGGACGATTCTTTGATGAACTCAGTCCCGGCTGCTACATTTGTTTTCAACCTGAGCTCACCTATTTGATCGCTGCACACTGCTACTGTTTGAACTGCTGCTGTTGAGGTACACCTCATGCAAATGTGTTACTACCAAAGCTCCAAAAGCAAGCAGCAATCAGATGAGTGACAGGCCTGCTGGAAGCAAGCCACCTTACTTACTAAAACATGCTTTGACCTTTTTATATAAAGTTACCACCTGAATAAGTTATCCTGCACTCCACACAACTTTGTTGCTTCTGTCATTTAGTTTGTGTTACAAACACTGGAAAAATAACAGTTTTGCATAAAATTCAGGGGTAATACCATCATATCTTCCCCGCATGGAACTGTAGTCATGACCTACTTAAACACTTACATATGCTTATACTGTAATCCAGTGCAGAATATGTTAAGGAATTAAGAGGGTAATTAGCAGCCAAGTGTTGCTGATCAGATGCTAATCATCACCAAGTATGAGCACTTCTATATATTCACTCCAGAGTCAGGCCTTGCAATGATTCACCATGCACAAGACTTCGACAGCAATTTCCTTCGGACAGATGAGACCAAAATGGAGATGTTTACTATAATGCACAGCATCATGTCTGGTGAAAATCAAACATAACACATCAGCACAAACACCTCATTTCAACTATCAAGCACGGTGGCGGAGTGGTGATGATATGGGCTTGTTTTGGAACTACAGGACCTGGGTATCTTGCAGTCACTGAGTCAGCCATGAACGTCTCTGTATACCAAAGTATTTTAGAGTTAAATATAAATGTATAAATGTATCTGTTCAAAAGCTAAAGCTTGGCCAAATTGGGTCATGCAACAGGACAATAAACCCAGGCAAGGCAATAAATCTACAACACTGAAGGTTGAAGAGTTTTCTACAGACTTTTCTTTTCCTTTCTCAGTTTAAGACTGTTTTTCTTCTTTTGGCTATGTATGATGTCATAGAAAGCAGATATTCCAATATGGCAATCTCAATATGACATAGTTTTGGGTGTGAGTGGAACCTTCACCCACTTGTGCTTTAAATTGTCTGATTGGCTGACTCTCACAAACAGGCAGGAAATCGGAAGATAGTTGTCCTAAAGGGAAGGATGATTAAAAAAAAAGACATATTTCAGACTCGCCAAATTAGTGAAACCCCTCTTTCTGTCAGTGTGAAGAAGTTTAACAACACATTTAAATTCTGAAATACAATATAAGAAAAAGAAGTGCAAATTCAATAGCATGTGTAAAACATATGAAAACACAATTAAAAGTCCAACATTTATGAACACCATTGATCACCTTTGTCATATTTTGTAATACAATCCAGTGGGTTGGACTGCTGTCTTTGTCTGGCCGATTATGGCCCTCGTGCCTTATGTTTGACTGTTGTGGGTGAAGCCCATGAGAGTCCCAGTATAAGATCAGTAGCTATTTTTTATAGTCAATGAAGAATAAAAAGCTTCAGTAGAACTCTAGACTTAAAATATTAAGTTGGAAATAACCATAATAGGTCCCTTTTAAGTGTACTTAAAAGTCTTTTTTATTTTAAAGGTATCCTGAGGAAGGTTTTCAAGAACAGTTAAAATCCGTTATTGTGAGTTTTTCTATTATTCTTTCAGGAAGTTATCCTGACCCTGCAAGAGAAGCTGTCAATCAAATGCATCGAGCACTTCTCCCTGGTGTTGGAACAGAGGACCGAAGGCTCTGAGAGTAAACTGCTCCTCCTGCATGAACAGGAGATGCTTACTCAGGTCGGAGATGTTGCCTTGTTCTTTTCACTTTCTTTGCCTTCTTTTCTGTCTTTCACACACAACAACTAGCACACACACACACACATGCAGGCACATTCCTGCTCAGTATTCAAGCAGCATTTAGACCCCAGTGTCATTTATCAGCACTTGCACAGCAGTGGCAACAGCTCACATTACACCTACACAACCACACACACACACACACACACACACACACACAGTGCCCAGTATATTCTAATTGGGTTCATCACAGGAGGACAATATTAATATTCATGCCACACAGTTCAGATGTGAAGAGCTCTGCACGTGGCACACACAATGGCTGAAGACTCTTTGAGAGTCTGAAAACCATTCTCTATACTGTAATACACCCGAGTGTCAATACTGAGGACAGGTGTGTTTGAGAGAGCTGGTAACTCTTGAAGTGTATAAATTTAAAAAAAAGAAAACAAGAAAAACCTCTTGCCCTTTCTACACGACGCAATATTAAATAATTTACAAAATATGATCAATATTTAAAAGACGATGCCAGTCTTGTGGTTTTGTCTTGAATAGAGGATGGAAGCAAATGCATGAACAACCACAGCAAGCAAAGTGAGGTTTTTCTAGGTTACTGCTGCTGGATTGCACAAGCATGTCTTTAGGTTGCAAAGTGGTCTAAATACAACTAATATGGCTATGAATATAAAAAACAAAACAGTGCTGCTGCTGCTGTCGTTGCTTTTGTACCATTACTAATGTTTCTGCAGCCAATGCTATATATGTTCACCACTGGTCATAAATTTATTCATAAATTTAAGACTTTTACTTGAAGACTCACATTTTTTGGCAGTTTGATTTTGCACTGGTTTGACACCCATAATAAGTGGTTATTTTTCAGAGTTTATTTAGTTTAATTAGTTTTTAAAATATGACAATGATGATGGTAAGCCTGGTAAAAACCAGTTAACTACCCTATACGTGGTTACAAAATGAACCTGAGCTTTTAAGCTGACATGCAGTAATTATTAATTATTAACTTATTTTCTCATATAACTATTTATTAACTTCATTTCTTTGAATTAGTTTGAGTTACTTTTTTATATAGACACAAAACCAGAAATGAAAAATTGAAATAATGCCATTTTTTTTACGTTCTGTATTTAGTAGTGACTCGAAAATTTAATCGCAAATACAAATTTTAGTAAATGTGAAGTTTTGAACGGGTGACATAAGTAGGACATTTGAATCATATGGAAAGTAACATAACATTCGCTCGGTTATGATGATGAAATAAACTAAATATGCAGGAAAATCAAAAGGACTGAAATTTATGATAACTCTTTTTTAAGAACATAGAGATGTTAATAGTGTATGTGTGGCGATGTCTGTGAAAGGCTTGCCTCAGATTGGCCCACCCATACCTACATACATATACAAACACAGGCTAAGATAACACGATGTCCGTGCCTTCCCGAAATCCGGGAAGTAGATTTAATTGGAGTGTCATCCTACTTTTTCACTACTTCTTTTTGGAATTGAAGGAATATATGAGCACCTTAGGCGCCAGTCACACAGGCCTAGAAACCAGTGACTAATCCCTTGAATATCCTTTTAAAAATGACCCTTCTTCTCACTTGAATGAATACAACAATAAAACTTTTCTTCTTGGGTTTATGATCTTATTTAATAAGACGTGAAGCCAGTCTTATTAAATCAAACTAGCTTCAAGTCATTTTTTTTAATTAAAAGATGATGTTCATCTTTGTCCCATGTAAAAGAAAAAAAAGGCCATAAAACGGGACATGATTTAGGGTGTTGCGCTTACTGAAAAACCCCACATTACCTCTGATGGTGATTGGTACGATGACTCTCAACGCTCGTAATGATCCAACATGAACTTTTGAACAACTTGAGTTTCTGCATATACTTACACATAGCTTGTTTACTGTGTTTTCACATGTTCACGCTTCTCTTTGTCTGTGCTTTTCAACCCCAGGTGACTCAGAGACCCGGCTGTGACAAGATGAAGTGTTTCTTTAGGATCAGCTTTGTTCCCAGGGACCCAGTGGAGCTGCTGCGGAGAGACGCTGTTGCGTTTGAATACCTCTATGTTCAGGTGAGCGATGGCAACAGTAGCAGCATGAGCACGAGGTGAGACTTGTCGACTGTTAAATATAAATACATCCAAATCCTCTGCTGCCAGATGGTTTGGAAATTATTTTTCATGATCTACAGACTTACTTAGTTTTGTGGGGAATTAATCCGTTCAAGACAAAAACCCTCATTTGCAAATAAAGTCTTTATATCAACTGTTGTATGAAATACTTCCCTCTGAAATAATAAATTGCTTCCTGAGGATTCCTTTGATAATTAGTCAAGTGAAATAGCCTGAGAGAAGGCAAGTTAATCATCTTTTTTTTCTTTCTGCCAGAGTTCACTATTTTGTGTTTCCGAGTCCTTCATCTGGGACTGGAAGCTACAGCGCATCCCTTTGAAGGGATCTCTAGCCACTGAGGTTGTGAACAACTTATTACAGCTCAGTGGGGATGCGCTGGTGCTCGAATAGCTCTTTGTAGAGATGAAATGCGCTTCACAAGCCCCGAAAAACTTAAGGACTCTTACGTAACTTTCTCCTTTGCTGCAGAGTTGTAACGATGTGGTCTTAGAGCGGTTTGGCCAGGAGCTCAAGTATGATGCTGCGCTGCGATTGGCTGCATTGCAGATGTACATCCTCACCATGACAACCAGACAGAGTCAGAAGGTCTCCCTCAAATACATCCAGTAAGTGTGCATGTAAATGCAGCTGTGGGTTCGAGTGTGTTTTTGACACTCTTAACATGTCTGTAAATGTAAAACTCTTGTACAGGCTGCAGCTCATCATTAATAATAAATAACAGAGTTTTTTTTCTAAAAGTTTTCTGATGGTTTTGCAAAAGTTTATCTGGCATAATAGAATTCGTTGCCCTTGTTCCCTTCTTGGATGAACGCATCTTTCTGGCTAAACAAAAAAAATCACATAACAGAAAGAAATGTTTCCTTGAATAGTTTGCTGACCCTGTCAGACTGTTGTTAATGGCAACTTGAGAAAATTTATGGCATTCTCAGATGTGCTTACATCAAAACTCATGGCTGATTATTAGTTTGAATATGATACGAGTAAAATAAAACTCCAAATAATACAAAAATATTTTCGAATAACCTTTGTACATGAATATATGACTAGCAGTGAGCACACTGTGTAGGGTTAGAAAATGTTCACCTATACTGAAGAGACTTGAATTTAAAAGGTAATATTTTCTAGTTTCTTAAATTGTGTTTTTTTCAGTATTCTGCAGTTCAGTGTTGAGATATTAACCCACCTCTAAATCGTCATCAGCGATTAAGTGATCAGCATTAATAATCACCATTGATGCAAGTTTTGCTCTAAAAAAGTTCTCTTGTAAAAACTTGATACAGTTACAGTTGAGAATTGTAATCGAAGTCTATTCAATTACCAACAATTTGAACCCATTAGAAATACAATAGGAAGATGTAACTTAATAGTAGTAATTGTCAGCTATTTATGTTGATTGTTATAGATATCTTTTCTGTTGCATGATCTACCCATAAAACCTTAAGAGCTTAATTACTACTAAATTACCGCTAAATGCATGCCTGAAAATGGCTTAGATTCTTGAACCTGCCTTAATCATGCAACTTCTATATCCAAATACAGATAAACAGAAACAGTTACTTTTTATGTGAAATAAATACTTTAATCAATCACCATGTTGATGTTATGGGGCGATCGTGGCTCAGGAGTTGGGAGTTTGCCTTGTAATCGGAAGGTTGCTGGTTCGAGCCCCGGCTTGGACAGTCTCGGTCGTTGTGTCCTTGGGCAAGACACGTCACCCGTTGCCTACTGGTGGTGGTCAGAGGGCCCGGTGGCACCAGTGTCCGGCAGCCTCGCCTCTGTCAGTGCGCCCCTGGGTGGCTGTGGCTACAATGTAGCTTGCCATCACCCGTGTGTGGATGGGTGGATGTGTAAAGTGCTTTGGGGTCCTTAGGGACTAGTAAAGCGCTATACAAATAAGGCCATTTACCATTTATGAATCTTGGTACCCAAAGTAGTTTTTAGGCCAAGTTTAATCAAGATTGAGCGAGTTCTGGGAGGTCTGGGAACGAGTATACATACATACATTGTTATAGTAGGATGATGATGCACCCAGAGGAACAGGTAAGGAGTGCCAAAGGAACCACGATAGAATAAAGTTTAGTCACCCGACACAAGCAAAGGTAAAAGAAATCAGTGCTCAGTACTCGAAGAGGCGGGATTACATCGAGTAACTAACTACTACCCACGTAGACAAATTTGAACACTAAAGACACCTTTTTAAATGGTAAATTTCCTGTTTTTTGACAACAGTTAAACAGTTATTTTCAGTGGTGGATGCTCATATTAAAGATGGCCAAAGGATTAAATAATAACATCATCATATTGCCCAAATGGGCTGAAGTCAGGTTGCGGCTGGATTTTATATGCCCTTTCACTCTGTGACACTCAATGTCGATATCCCTAATATGAATGTTTTAAGGAAGCCCCACCCATCAATTAGGAAGCCAATTAAGAGAAACCTGGGTTAGAGGCAGGGTGGCCTTAAAGGGAGTGGAGCTAAAACAGGAGACAGTGGCTCAGTATGAGAATTATGAAATATGCAAAGCTACCCTTCTAGAGTCTAAGTACAAAAAAATAGAGTTGTAAATGAGCATGACCGGTCTCCTTTAGAAGAAGCACAACTTTAGCAAACAGTCCAGATGTTTGTTTGTTTTTTAATCAATTGAGAGTTACAAGAAAATGCTGTTATTGTACTTTTATATGGCAATATAATGTTGACACATCTGTTCCTGTGCAGTCCCAGTGTAAGTAAGGGAACCCGCCTGGCTGCCCTTATTTAACTTGTCCTCCAGCACTGAGTGAAACACTGTAAATATTAGGGTCTCAGCGCAGATAGCTCTCTCACATCTTTAAGGTCCTGTTGAGGAAACACTTTCCCCTTTGACAAAGCTGTCCACCTGAAAGTCAATTCATCGTTTTGTTCTGTTACTAACAGCTTGTCTCCCAATTTGTAGCTGTTTTTTAACCACTGTGGAAGGATTTTTTTTTCTAAGGGCTGCTTTATGCTGAAATCAATCTTCTCTCAACAGAAAAGAGTGGGGTTTGTCACTGTTTCTGCCTCCTGCTGTGCTGTCCAGCATGAAGGAGAAAAACATCAAGAAGGCTCTGACACACATCCTCAAAACCAACCAGAACCTCGTGCCTCCAGGGAAAAAAGTAACCAGCTCTCTTTGTCTTTCCTTGCCCTTGTTAATAAGCTGACACACTCTGACACACACACATGCACGCAAACACACTGCCTCTCTGTTTTCTGACGCAATATCCTAAAATAGCATCGCTGCCATACACCACCTTGTAAAGGTTCTCACCCTTGTCAACCTAAGACCCTTTGTCAAGCTAGACCTTGAATGCTAATGTGAATAACAATGGATTGTCAAACTTTATGCATAATAAGATATTTAAATTTAAAAGCGCACACATGTTCCAGTCAGTGGCAGCTAATCTAACTTGGGCTGAACTTTTTAGCTTTTTTTTTTTTAAAAAAAACTGTTTTAATGATGCAAGCAGCTGCCAGTCTTCTCATTCTCCAGCACCCATATTAACTTTGACAAGTACAAATCAGCAGCCGACCCTTGCAAGAGTTTCAGCGGCACCCAGTGATTTACAATCAGCTGTCATGCAAATTCTGTTAGTGAATCAGAGTTAGATAGAGTGTATTCATGTTAAGCCATCGGCACTTGTTTGTGAGTTCTTGCAGACTTTAATGTCCCATAGAGTCATGTGATAGGCCATGGGCTCACATTTCTGAGCCTCGCTATGTAAATCAACTCTGGACATGTTGTATTTGATGCATGATGTAGGAAGTAGATATTATTTCTTAAATTCTAAAAAAGCTCCAAAACAATGCTGTGAAACAGCAAATTGAGCATGGCATTAGTTCAGACAGACCACCAGCTCAAGTTCAGCCACAATCCCAGCAGATCAGCTGATTTTGATACTAACCCACATCAGGTTATGGCTTCTCTTCTACACATAGAATGAACAAATCTCACATAGTGTGCAGCATTTAATTTACACTGAAATAGGCCATGCTGTAGCTCATTTCTATAAATAACAAAAGCTACATTTATTCATTTAAAAACACATGGATGAACCACAGCATTGCACTGATGGAAATTTTCAATTATTGCGATGAACATATATCCCTAATGCTCACAGCTGATCTCACATGCATAGTCGAGTCTCCACAAATGCTCACTGGAGCACCAAACATGTATTCATTCCGACTGAATATTATGTATGCGCAAGTTTCTCCTCGAGGATACACATATTTCATACCATTTTACGACCCCACAAAACAAGTCTCAAATTGCAGCCGAGCTCTTGATCATTCGTTTCTGTTATTTGCTATGAAATATGATGCATATTTAGAGTCAGATTCTCAGTTTTCTAAACTAATAAATGAAACCATTTGCATCTGACAGACAAATCAAAGCAAGACCTGAACCTTTGACTCCTATAGGAAGGGGATTTAATGGCTGTCTTGTGCTATGGGATCATTTTGTGCTAACGTTTTAGGCCCAACTGTCATTATCTAAACACAAAGTGAGGCAATACCTAGAAGAATAGTGTGTCATCTGTCTAGCCTTGGATCTGTCGTTTAATCCAGGAATGTCAAACTCATTTTACATGATGGGCTGTATGGAGCCCAATGTGATCTTAAGTGGGTGACACCACTGAAACTCCCATTTTCCAGAAGTTTAACTAAAAAAGTTCAATTTTAACAGCATGTCTCAGTTTTTCTACATGATAAAGAAATGCTGTAGTAAATGAAAGCACTCTGACAGCTTTGGGCTTAAAGTGCAAGAACTAAATGTGTAAAATTGTAGAAAAGGTCCTGGTACTTTGTTGTAATATGAATGGTGATGTGGGCCACCTTTATCAGCAGGAAATGCTTTAAAACTTCAGTTAAGCAAATACAAAAAAATTTCCTAAAGCTATGCAGTGGCCTGGATTGGAGTCTTTGCTGGGCTGATTTTAGCCCCTGGGTCATATGTTTACCACCCTTGATCTAATCCATCAAGAACCATCAGTAAGGTGCAAAGGCTATGTCCACCATGATTTTCTTTTTCAAATGACCCCCATTTTCCACTCCAGAACACATCATAAGCTCATGTACAACTTCCCAAGCATGTTGAAACATGGGCTGGGTCTCAAAAAGCACCAAGCCGGGCACAGTGCCTGTGCTTCTTTGATTTGCTACACGTCTGTACATCATAATATACAAAGAGCTGCTCTAAAGCAGAAGTGGGCAAAGAACCTGAATGCTGGCGACATCAATTATCAGCAGGCAAACTGATATTACTCCAGTTTAATTGTCCAGTTTAATCAAAGTAATGCAGCTTTATGTTGTAGGTGATGAATGTATATCAGTTGAAACACACCTAAGCTTCAGCCCATGTGCAAATACACATATTCCAAGCAAGGCCAAGCGGCTCGATTGGCACTAGCTAATCAAATGTATTCACAGAGATCAGACGTTCACATTAGCATTTTCTATGTGAGGCTGACTGCACAGTAAAATATTGCTGGACTACACTTTAGAATTAAGAGTGAAGGGATAAAACTTCAGGTCATGAATGAATGAACGTTGGAGTAAAATGAAAGCAGCTGTAATTTTTGGCATCTCGAGTTTAAATCACACTCACCCTCAGCTGCAGGAGAGGCACAACTCCAAAAAAGCAGGGTGTAAAGAGTGGCACTGCTGTGGAGCAGCTCTTTGGAACCTTATCAGATATAAATGACATGATGGGATATAATGGAAAATCAGCGGGCCAGATCAAAATAGTTTTGAGAGTGCTTTACATCCTGACATTAGAAGACAAATTGCATTTGCTTGTGGTGAAAGCTATTTCCTTTTCAGATTCTTACTAATGTCCTTGCTCCTCTCTGCACAGTTGACCGCTTTGCAGGCCAAGGTGCATTACCTGAGGTACCTCAGTGAACTCAGACTCTTTGGAGGGAGGGAGTTCAAATCAATACTGTTGGTAAGCCCATTTGATCCAGGAAGCCATGTGAAACGTTTGAGAGTAAATGTGAGTTCTTCTTGAGCTTTTCGCTGATTTTAATTTGTTTGTTTGTTTTGAAATCCGCAGCAAGGTGAAAAACAGACAGAGGTGACGCTGTTAGTGGGCCCACGTTACGGCATCAGCCACGTCATCAATGCCCGCACAAACCTGGTGGCCCTATTGGCTGACTTCAGCCATGTGAATCGCATTGAGATCCTCACTGAGGATGAGACCAATGTCCGACTGGAGCTGCATGTTCTGGACGTCAGGGTGAGAGCAGAGCATAGTTGTCTTTGAAAACAAGTCCGTCCCCCCCCCAAAAAAATGCCTTGCATTAATTTTAGCATCTGTTGTTTTCCTTAACTATTTTTTTCTGCACATCCTCCCTTTTTTGTTTTCACAGCCCATCACACTGATCATGGAGTCAAGTGATGCAATGAACCTGGCTTGTCTAACAGCAGGATACTATCGCCTCCTAGTGGACTCGAGAAGATCTATTTTCAGCATGGCCCACTGCAATAGCACAGGAGTGGATGACCTTAGTAAGTATGATCCATGTCTGTGTGTAGGGCAGGGCAATATGGCCAAAAATATTTATCATGATATATATTTGAAAATTTGCAATAACGTTATAACTGATGATATAATTGACACTAGACACAATACTTTGCAACTCCGCAACTTTATTAGTGCAAAACAAAAAAACAACAGCAAAAAAACAAGCAGCTGTTTTTTTATGTGCATTAAAGCTACATAAAAATTTAACAGTGAAAATGCAAATTCCTTGCTGGCAGTTTAACCAAAATGCATTTCCAGTGGAAATGGGCCGACATATCCTCAGCATAACCATGTATAATATCCACAAAACTTAAAAAGAGGTTATACACACACGATACGGTAATATTATGTTGAAGCACAGTACGTATCACTCCGCAAGGTTCCCGACTACGATAGCCGTAATGCTCCGACAATCCATCAAGCGGTGCGGCTTTGTAGCTTAGCAAAGTCGTACTAAAACATTTTTTTACAGATTTTTGAGCGCCGTGTACCACAAATCGGTTCAAGGTCAGTAAGCACAACCAGAATTCATACATAAGAATTATAAGGGGCACTGTCGATTTTTTCAGAAAATCAAAGGATTTTAAGAACAACTTATTTTCCGAAAAATACGGTAATAACAATGGCCTGCTTGCATGCTCTACCAAAAATTGTGCTTTGGTGTGTATCTGACGGACGAAAGCCAAACCAGTTCCACACCACTGAAGTTGCATCATTTTAACAAACCAATATGGTTCATCTGTTTCATTCAACGAACCGCTTCCGTCCTTCCCATTCTCCGTCGCCGCCATGCTTTTTCTGCCATGTACGTATGAAAACAAAAGCACTGCACATGCGCGTTTTACCCATATTCCATTGCGATATTTCATTTTCTTATCGCCTAACATTATATCGGTATTACCGTGAATATGATATGGTATGGTATGATATGGCCCAGCCCTGTCCTATGTATGTGACATAATATGGATTACAAGCCATCTGTTTAGGACAAATTGGTGGATATCTAAAGTTTCACTTGAGTAGTAGATGTTGATGCTTTGGAAAAGTACTCCACATGAAACTATGAAAACTTGTTGCGAGGTCACACATTTAAAAATTGACGTTTTACAGTGCTGCATAAACCCTGCTTTGAAATAGAGTGCTTAACTGAAACAGGTCTTTAAAGTTGAATCAAAATCAAATGCAAAACAGGTAAAGTGATAAAATCTTGTGTTCCTTGCAGGTCAGGAACGTGTCCTGGAGTGGCCTTACAGCACATCTTTTGGGGACAATGAGGAGCCTAGTCAAGTAGAGATCTACAGCAGAGACTCTGAGTACTCAGACAATGGGCAAAGGGAAAACAGCATTTCTCCTTACTTCCACGAACCACCAAACCCTGACAGAGACCTTGAGAACCGAAGGAGTCCGTTGCCCCCTCCTCTGCCTCCGGCTACCAGACACAAAACTCAAGACTCACCTCGGAGCGCCAAAGTGTCATTTATTTTTGAGGGGAACCCACCCCTCAATAAATTTAAGAACTTACGCTATGAAAGACTGTTAGAGAGCCCAGAGGTACCCAACTACGGACCGCCCTACTTGCACAACAACACATACTTTCAGCAACAGGACAGAGAGCCATTTCAGCACGTCTATAGTAACATCATAAGCGAGGAAAGTAGTGATGAGCTAAGGGAACTAGTTTATCGTGGCAATACAAGCGATCCAGACGAGGATTCTTGTGAAGAAGATTCCACTGGGGGGACGCCAGTGGGTGATGAGACACATGATGGTATCCAAGGGGAGGGCCTACCCACAGCAGCCGGCAAAGCTACCTTTCTCACCCTTTCCGGTTCTACGGACGACATTATCGACCTGACGTCGCTGCCTCCTCCCGAGGGCGATGATGGTGTTGACGATGATGAAGACGACACCCTGCTGCAGACGCTCAACCTTGCGATCGCAGCACCACCACCAGGCTTTCGCGACGGTTTGGATGAGGACGTTGCACCCGAGGGAAGGCCTCTAAGCACACGTGAAAATGATGATATTCCGGTTTCACTAATCGATGCCATTCCAACGCATGGGGAAGGGAGCAGGGGAGGGGAGAGAGGACTGGAAAATGCGGTTATGAATACACTGCAAGCGCTGCAAGCTCTCTCGGTCTCTGAACAGAAGCCTCCACCGCCGCCACCACCCAGCGGTAACAATCCAGGTCTGTTGAATACTAATGCAGCACAGTAATGTTTATGACTTTATTTAGCACTGATTTAACAGCACTTTTACTTAGACTGAGCCAGTGGTTACCAACTTTTCATCGTCTTAAATTCTCCCTCCCTAGCTCTGTCAAATGGACTTTAAACTCATTTCCTCATTTCCTTTCAGCTTACAATTTAGTCTTAACAATTACATATTTAGCAGTTATGGTCTATAAACTGCCTCAATCATTATCCATAACTACTAGCTTGGTCAACATTGAGTAGCAACTAGTGGAGTAATTCAAACATTAATCCACTAGTTTTAGTTACAGTTCCACCCTAACCTTCAACATCCATTTAAGCTGTTAATTATGTTTACTGATACTTTCAAAAGTGTAACTATTACTTGTTGCTAAAAGTTTCATATGTTCATCTTCCGTTTTAGCTCACTTTCAACTGCTGGCTACACATTTAGCTAATTTAGGTTTTGCGGACAAGTAACCACGTGACATTAACTTGCCCACCATTTTGGATGTATGACAACCATGATGACACTGTGGGATCAAGCATGTAAGACCCCAGTCGCAAAGGTCTAAAGACTGGTCCAACCCTCTGAAAACCACCGATTATGAGGAAAAAATTTATATTCTCAACTGGTCACAAGGAGCTGCTGGAAGTTAATGGCAGTCTCTGAGAAAATTATTGCTAAAGTCCTAGTCACGCAAGCCTAAAGACTGATCAATGACCTCTTGGCATCCACCTGTCACTAAGGAAAAATGCATATTCCCTAACCAGTTGGCAAAAACAAATATCTAGTTATGTCTGTCTAGGTTCCCAGTCATCTAGGGCATAGTAGTCTTGAGAGCTTGAAAAAGAAGACAACTGGACAGTTTCATTAGTTCTTAAAAATGATGGAGTGTCAACCTTCAGCGACCCCAATATGTTGCCTCAGTGACCTCCATAGGCCACATGATGGATTGGGGCAAGGTCTTGCAGTGGTTTCACCCATAACCCCATGTGATGATACTCGTGCCCTTTTTCATACCTCAGCTCATGTGATGACCTATGATCTACAGTGCTCAGGACTACTTCCAAAGGGGACAACTCCCACTAGGGGTTAAATACCTGAGACTCTACACCATTTTATAGAACTCAGAAAGGTTCTTGGATGAGAGATGAAACATCTTGTAGAAGTACAGTTGCCTTCTTTTTCAAGCTCTCAAGACATTTAGCTAGGTGTTTCGACAGTTAGCCATACCTTTGCTTAAAAATTAAAAATCAATCATATTCCTATTTTCAGACATCTATGTCAATTTCTAGTATATTTAGCTTGCATTTTATTTTTTTAACCATACTTTTAGCTACTACATCGAACTACTTCAACCATTTTCCTTACTTTTTGACCACTATGTATCTATTTACATCATATATCAGTGCAAACTAGCTTGCTTTTTTTTCTTTCATATTTAGATTTACGACAATTAATTGCTAACTTTTAATGCTACCTACCAGTCAGGGCCTCTGTTTAAGGGTCTATGGAGCAGAGTTAGCTGTTAGCCATATCTGGTACATGTGTTGTGCATTGTGCCTGCTAAATAGAATTAACAATATGTTTAGCTTGGTTCTCTATCACTACTGTCTAAGATTTCATATTAACTGCTACTTCTGCACAAAATTGTTTTGGTGTAGATTCACAAGTTAATATGGGATTCACTATAAGCTATGAAAAAAAAACATGTTCAGAGCTCTAACAGTCAAAGCAGCAGTTAAATTGAGATTGAATGATCTACATTTAACTTTGTATCTCTTATCATCTAGGTGTTTATATATCTCATGGCTTTAGTCCAGAGTCATCCTCAGACTCTGGTAATGAGACCAACTCCTCAGAGATGACTGAGATCTCTGAACTAGCTGCTACTCACCGACTGAGCGAGAGCCACATGCGTCTTCTGGTGGCCACAAGGGAAGGATACCAACCTTTACTTGAAGAAAAAACTGAATTTCCTGTCTCCCCCAGTACCGGAGGAACAATACAAAAGAAACCTCGCAGTCCAACACGACACCTTCATCCTCCAGCAGTTCCTCCAAGACGGAGCCCTCAGTTAAGCACCACATCAGCACGGCCGGACAGCTCAGAAGTAAGGCCCCAGATTAATCTCTCAGCCACTCTTCAGCGCCCAAGCTCCACCACACCAGGAGGCAAGCACCATAAAAAATCAGCAGACTCCAGCGGAAAGTATAACACCTTCAGCACAAGGGAAGGATATCGAGGAGAGAGCATTGGGAGCCGCAGCCATCTTGACTTGGACCAGCGTACCTCATTCTGCGAACGAGAAGACAGCCAAAGAAGGCAGGATTCTTTTTTAGCAGAAAACTCTGTAGCCGAGAGCCATGGAGTCAACAGCCTCCCTCGTGATCATCATAGAAGTCCCCGCCCTTCCTCCGTTATCACTGACCGCTTCTCAGATGTTGTCAACTTGGGGGGCTGTGATGCAGATAATGGAGCTTCAGCTGCTGAGCAAGATGAACATCTAGTTGTAGCATCGTTGCTATCCCCAACCAAAAAATCTAGATCAGGGGGATCAGACCAGGGCTCAGACATACAGAGTGACCATCAGACCATTTCGAGACAACAGAGTGTAGCCCGGCTGTGTGAATACCATCTAGCAAAAAGGATTTCAAATCTGCAAGGAGAAGCACACAGTTCACTGCAGGGCTCTCTGTGCTCATCACTGGATGCTGGTGGCAGCACGAACAGTAGCGTTTGTGCTACCCCAAATGATTCACCCCTTGGCCCTGGTGCCATTGAATCAAAACACCACCATCTGCAAAGGCACCCGCTTTCTAGTTCCTCCTCCTCGTTACTCAGGGTGTTAAACTACGAAGATAACAAACCCGGAACCCCCTTTGCCAACCCTGCCCAGAGTACTCAGGGAAAAGACCTCCACCCTCATGCAGATCCTGCCCTCCTTCGGAAAATGCTGCCCAATATTCACCAACCTTCCCCTGGGTCAGAACCGGGCCGGCCATCCTCAGCCACACCATCTAAGCATAAAGACCCTTTAGGAAACAAGCGACTCCAGAATGATCAGCATGCTAAACAACAGGCCTGTCTGAAAGGGCTGAACCAGAAGGAAGGCAGCGAGGCCTACAGGCAATTGATTAACTATCTAACAGTCAGCCAGATGCATCAGGGAGGGAAGTTGCAGAGTGCGGGCATGGGAGGAGGAGTTAAAAAGGACACAAGGCGTTTCATTACTAGCAACCCCCAGCTTGTTGAAATGGTTAAAAATAGGGGGAACACCATCGCTCGCTGCCCGTGTATGCCTTCATCCATATCATCTCCATTCCTCAGCCCAAATTTAGTTAACCCTAATGCTGCTGCCATGCAGGCAGCAAACAAAAATGCACGGTCATACTATTCTGCAACACTTCCTACCAAACTCAAGAGAAGTCCTGATATGCATGCTCAGAGAAGGAATGAGACTTTAGATTTCAGGAAAGCTACTTCTGAGAGGAGGAGCTCCTTTTCTGGCCTAGAAAGTGAACTAGAGAGGAGTGGTCTGGACCCAGAGCACTTTCTGTCCCTCTATAAGAGAGAGGGATGTAACAGCCGCGACGGAGGACTTGCTACAGGCGGAAACCGTGAGGGGGGAGGTACCACTAGCCGTCATCCACCTCGATCAAGAAGCCAAGCTAGCAGCACAGAGGAATGGTTCAGATCAGACCTGAAGTCAAAGCATGCAGTTCGTCAGTCCCGCCCCAACGATTCTCTTTGTTTCTCTGCTGCCCCCGGTGGTCAAAGAGCAGACCTCAACACTATCTCACTAGGAAGGGGAGACCACCCTTCAGCTTTTGTCAGGCAGGCATCAGCTGGTCCAAGAGCTTGCATTACATCTCCAATACCCAATCCTCAGAATCCACCTCCCCCACCACCTCCCCCACCACCTCCTTCTTTTTCCCAGCCTGTTCAAGTCAACACTAGTTCCAGCAACTCAGGATGCACACAGGACCCCAATCATTCTGTCCAGTCCCGGCAGAGTCAGAACCACATTCAGGCTGTCACCCCGACGCTACCACACACAGATCCCTTCAGTAGCCTGCAACGGGGCCGGGAGCTTAAACGGAGCTCTAGCAATGTAACTGCAAGTTCTGGTAGTGTTGAAGCTCTATTTGAGAAGCCCACCCGAAGCCGGAGCCAGCAGCCCCTGTCACTGTCTCTGCCCCCGCAAGGTGACACCAAAGTCCAGCGGAGGCCAAATAGGAAGAGGCTCTCCAAGAGCTACTCTCAAGGCTCTGTGTCTTCCCACACCACGTGCTGGTCCACAGGCAGTAGGGTAGACAGTAGAAGGGCATCTGTGGCTTTTCCATTGCAGAAAGATGCAAAACAAATGAAGGGCTCTCAAAAACTGGACACAAGTCCCTGGAGATGTAATGGGCCCTTCAGCTACTGTTTCTTTAAACGTAAGAGTGAGGGCGAAGAGGATGAGATCGAATGGGAGAGGCCCAGACGAAGTCGCAGTGGACCTGATTTCAAGGATGACGGTGCTGCTTCAGCCATATTCCCCTGCGGTTCCGCACTGGATGCTGCTGGCGAGCAGCTGTATGGCGAGGTCCTTAATAACATGAGCTTCAGTGACCGACTGGCACGAATCAACGCCCTCAAAGACCACATGTACGGTTTCCCTTCCGGCTTCACTGATGCCCGCCGTGATGCCAGCGAGCTCATCGCATTAGTGAGATCCAGCATAGGTCGCTGTGAGCGCGGCATCCAGATGCCTAACCAGGATGTATCACAGTATAAACAGCTCCTCTCCGTTGAGTCAAAAGAATTAGGCCGGGCGTGCCGGAGGATGGCACAGGCCCACAGCAGTCCAGAGGAAATGCTGCTAGCCGTGACTTGTAGCTTTCAGGTGCTTTGTTGTCTCTGCGAAGCTTGCATGTGTCTGGTTAGGGGACTCGGAGCCTCAGCCTCACACCAACAGAGAGAAGTCGTGGCAAAGGTTGACGAGGTTGTTATGAACTATATCTGTTTGCTCAAAGCAGCTGAGGCTGCCACTGTTGGAGCGCCAGGGGAGCACAGCATGAAAGCCCTGGTCCGCCACTCTAGTACCATGTCAGCCATTGCTAACGCACTCACCCGCTCCCTTAAAACGCTGCTTAGCAAGTAGAGGCTACTCCTTATAATTTATAGTGTGGCCTCTGCTGTCAGCGGGAGTATGTCTTTAAGCGTCTTGTCGTCTTTGAGTCAGCTGTAAGAGTCATGTATTTTTCATAAAGGTTTAGAGCTGTCTCCATATCAAAGTTTAAAAAGCAAAAGGCAGGAGTTAGACTAAACATTAAAGTTACATAACATTTACGATGAATAGATGTATAAGATGCTTAAAGAGTCCTCTGACTGCACTTGCTTTTTTTCTGATGACAATATTGTAATGCATATTTACAAAGCCATACTGTCACAGACCTTTGTAATATGATATGTACCTAATAGAAATTATACCCTTTTAAGTGTGCATTATGTAAGTTATTTAGAAAATGTGTATATAATGTACATAATTAATTATCAAATTTACTGTAGCAGTTTCAAGAAGCCATCGAGTATTCAGTTTAACCCTCTCAGGCTCAGATTAAACTTTTTGTCGCTAATGCACAACCAAGTCTGAGTAAAAAAACTCATAAAATGTGTATGTGGGGTAATCAGGTTGTTAGTTTTTAACTGTTGCAAATCAGCAACACCTGCCTGGAGAGGGTTAATTTGCTTTGATACTGTGCAGGGCTAGGGGTGACAGTTCACGAGTGGCAGTTTTACAATAACTGTATTTATTTTAAAAGAAAATGTACCTCTAGACATGTAATTTAAAAAACAAGTTTCATTGTCAGTCCAGTGAGGAAGTGATATAGTTATATTTAAATGCTCTAAAATGACTGTGTAACAGTGAGCTGATTTTAACTGATTACATTACGATGCTTGTTTTTCTTTCTTTGGTTTTTGTTTATTTTACAAGATGACTGGAAAATTCAGTAAAAGTGTTTAACATACAGGTTACACTAAACATTGCACTTCATTCACACAACCGCTTTGTATTCTACCACTTAGATTACTTTGTTATATATATATTTAAAAAAAGAAATATATAATTTCCCCCAACATCAAATGTCATCAAATAAACATTGCTAAGTTATATATAAAGTTTAAAGGCATATTTCAGATTGAGCATTGTGGATTATATCCGATTACTTTTTTAGTTTGTTTTTTTATTACCATCGCTTTTGGAATGAGTTTTGTGCGTGAATGATTTACTAAACCACGCTGTGTATCAAGATGTGGTTATGTCTCTCAACAAAGAAGAAATCACTGCTTTTTTTCAGCAACCCACCAACCTATTAAAAGATATTTTTCAGAAAAACTTGTCTTATTCCATGCATCTTTGGTTTGAATGAGTTACTACACCATGCAATCATGCTGTGATTTGTTTTGTAAAGTTTGCCATCCTAAAATCAACAGCCATTTATTTTAATGTCTGTTTCATAAAAGGTACTGTCTGTCAGTTTACAGGTGATTTATTGGGGGATATATTAAAATACCCCCCTTTTTAAACTGACATCAAAATGTGGATCTATTTAAACTAATGTCTAGTGTAAAACTACTCGTGTTCCTGATATTTCTGTCACACAGTGGAAATTTTAAGTTGTCTTTTCACAGTAATATTTCAGTCTTTATATCAGTTGAAGAGCTATGGATTTGGTGTTAAAGCGCATTGCTATTTAATACAGGTAATTTGACATACATGCATCAACAATCTACTGGTACAGACAGGAGAGGATGCTAGGGATAGGGTGAATGGATGCAGATGGTTTGCTGTGTTTACCCTTAAGGGGAGGAGCCAAAAGAAGAAGAAGAGGAGTGATATCTTGATGCATGCTCAATCATCCAGGTAAGTAAATCTCCAAAAGTTGATTCTGTTCCAGGGAGGAACGCTGGTTTGAGCAGGGAGTCAAGAAGGCCATTTACGTGAAAAGGGAAAGACCATCTCTGAATCGAGGAGGGGGCCTAAGGGTACATCTTTTGCCATCTTACAATGCTGTGATTGCAGCCATTCCCCAACTCTCTGTGAATGGTATTCATGGCCATTGATCAGTGGTCTTTGATCAGTGGTTGTTGATCAATGGTCATGAGAATTTGCATAATTATGATGAAGGAACTGACCTCCCAGCCCATTGTTCCTTCAGTGGTGCTAGTTTCAGTCATTATGCAAATGTACTGTTTATAAGATTGGGGAAACCTGAAGTCAGCTGAGACTGAAGAAGTCACTTGGATGAGTGACGAAACGTTTCTCCCACTGAAAACACTACATCCAGATGAACAGAATCAACTTTTGGAGAAGAGGAGAGATAGTTTCATCCTGCTGAGACAGACGGACCTTTCAGCTGAGAACCCAGGTTAATGTGCCTGCAGTATCCTTCTAGTCCACTTTGACTTTGGTCAAAAGCAGCCTAGTAGCATTAAAATGAAAAGATATCCAAGTATAGTTTAGCTAGTTTTAAAACTACAAATCTGGCGATTTGTAACTGTAACTGTAAGGTAATAAATTAAGTATCTAACTACTTCTGACAATCATACACAATCCTAAATGAAGAGATCTCTGCTAACCAAGTGTCTCTATTAGAACCCCATAGCAGCAGCTGGTGTTATCGGTACTGACCCATAAATGGAAATTAAAAAGTAAAGAAGAGACAGGAGAAACACTCTTCAAACATATGGTGAGCGTTGACCCCAATTGTTGCATAATTTGTCCACCAGAGGTCACTCTGCAACTTCATAGTTGGTAATACAAGTTTGTAATACTACAAAAACAACAACCAGGCGATCAGTATGTAAATAACTACAGTTAAAGAACAGTCGGGAAATCTACTTGTGTTTTGTGTATTGGAAAGAAAAAGAAAATCAGCCAATATATGGGAGTATTGAATTTTTAAATCACCAAATATCGGCATTGATGTTAGCCTTAAAAACCCTATTTTGTTTGGACTATAGTCTCTGTAACCCTATGTCTGTGTGTAAGAGAAGAAATGTGACATTTAAAAATACCAATAATAATAACAACCAAATGGAAGTTCGGGGTCGCCATGCAAAACTATCCCGATATCAAATGTTCAAATCTGCAAGCTTCTTACAGGCCTACAAGTAAGCATTGCCTCACATATACTATATGTACTGCACTTCCTGTCTCCGTCCATGGCAGAGATGTATCATGCACGCGGGTCTCGAGCCATGCAGTTTACTACCTAAAGGGCTCTGGGTTCAGCCACAGCTGGCTGTTCGTTCACGTGATGTTTTCCCCAAGAACCAAAGAGAAGTAGAGAAGAGTACGTGCATGACGGGGGAGTATGTTTTATTTGCATACTGGGCGCCTGTTCTGAGCATGTCGTGACGTCTAACCAATCAGGTCAGCGAATCCCACAAACCACGCCCGCGCGGTAACTCGTGTCGCGCGCTTCACAATCAGCATTGTACTAGTGTGCAAGTGAAAGAACCAAAAGTTACAAGCGTCTTTTTGGCACCGTTTCAGCAGGTTTACCTGACAGGAGGACTTTTTGTGTAGCAAGTTAAACTCAGGCAGAGCTCAAAGAACTGCGAGGACGTCTTCGGAACAAGCTCGTGGCTGCCGAGTTTAAACTGCTACCAGCGTGGAGAAGTTATTGTTCGCCACTCCGTGGGGTTTAAATTTCGGCTAACAGAAGCGCCCCAGGCCGAAGCAGGTTGTAAGCCCCGAGTGTTATAAACCTTAAGTTAAGTCGCAATGGCAGCTGTGTGCCAGCCACGACGGGCCTTGGTGGAAATACCTGCTCCACAGCCCAAAATTGCCGGTGAGTTTTTAGCTTTTCATTTAACATGTGTAACTTGTTGTTTGGAGAGAGGCGCCACCCTGCTCGAGCTATCGAGGCGCTCGCGCCCACTACGTGTCGATAACAGCGCCAAATTTGAAAAAAACAATGTATTTCTGGTAGTTTCGTATCATGTTGTGAGTGTAAAATTATGTTAAATATTTTAACCATGCAACTTTTTTAAAATATTAAATTCTTTACAGCTCGAATGAGGAGGTCCTACTTGGAAATATTAAGTTCACGTATGGTCCCGACCCCGTCCCCACTTCCAAGAGGAAGAAACACAGCCGCAAACACAAAGCGTATGCAGTCATGTAAGTTACGCTGTTAACCTTAAATTAATTGTAGCTATACTTGCTGAGCTGATATGCGGTTGATTTTGTGATCTGACCTTATAGGAAGCTACATGGCAAAAAACAAAACGCGCTTGATAATGAAAAGGGAGTTAAGGGCTAACTTGGCTTGGTGTTCCCTGGTTTTGCAGTGGACTTGGCAGTTGGTGGGGCGTGGAGAGGAAGGCTAGAGGAGCAGTGTGAGAAGATGGATGAGCACCACACACCGCTCTCCAAACAGCAGCTTGTGCAGCTCATTAGATCCCTCATCTTGGTCGAACAGGTATTCATCAGTGGACAATTGAACTTATAGTAAAGCTAATGCGGCAGTGTTTTTGAAGAAACGCTGCGATTGACATAACTTAACAAGGCGTTATGTTGTACCCTAGAGCCAAGAGCCCAGGGTCATGGCATCAGACCTGAAGTATCTACAGGAAGACCTGCAGCTAAAGAAGGCCAATGTTTACAGGTCCATACCTTACTCACGGTTTGGATCCAACAGGGACGCTCACTGCTACAGAAAGGCATACCCTCACCTGGTGGCATTCAAAGTGAGTCTTTGTCGTGCACAGTTGTGTTTTTTAGGCTTTTAAAAGTAGGTTCTTTAAGGCTGCTATTTGTGTCCAGTGGAGATCTCCTTTTGCTATTCTTAAGTACATTTATGTCACATTAAACACTTCGTCTTCCACCTCAGGTTTCGTGTCAGGAGTGGGGCCAAGTTCTGCTGAGGAACAAAGATTGGGACGCCGTGTTGGAGCACTCACTGATGGCGTGGCGTTACACCAGTGAGCTGCCGCAGTGGGACACTGCGAGCCACAACGCCCTTCGAGAGCAGTGTTACAGCATCCTTGCGGCTCACAGCCTCACCGCTCTCCAGCACTATTCCCCCGAACCCAACAGAGGACGGGAGCTGCTCAGAAGGTAACACTCATTTTGCTCTGATGCGGGATGCCACGGCACCCACCCGCCTCCTTCCTTGTAGTGAGGTTTAGGCAGCGCTACACCAGAGGATTGCACTATAAACACCTCAGTTTGGTTAGTACATAATACTTGTACATGCATGTGGGTGGTGTTTATATACACCAACGGCTTTCCGCAACCTCTCTGCTGATGGGCTGGCAACAAACTATTGACTTAAATATCAAGTTTAAGCAAAGCATCATGGACATCCTACTGAAGTCTGCCACCTGTTGAGTGCAAGTTTACACACCTTTCAACACCAATTCACAGATCAGGAATGTGTTTGCCTCTCCACTTTCTTCCATACGCCTGTCAGTCATTTTAGCAGCTAAAGTGAGTTGAGCTTCACTTTGTGTTCTGAGGTTGTTGCTAACATTTGCTAATGTTCTGTTGGCACTGTGTAGACTCTAAATAAACTTGGCAGCCAAGAAGCTTTTATTTATAGATTTAAGATTATTTTTAGAGCAAAAAATAATATATAACAGGGAGTTATAAGTGCAAGTGTGACTAGATGTTTTTCGATCAACCCTAACTAACAGATGGCTCTAATCTTTTTGTCTCTAGACTGAAGATGGCTCAGCTGTATAGCCAGTCAATTGTTCCCTGCATACAGGAGTTGCAGAGTATAATAGAATGTCTCGATGACTCGTCCATGGATACAAAATGAAAGGAGAAACCGGCAAAAGAGTGCGAACTGTGGATGACCAAAAAAAAAGTGCTTTATGTGTGGTGATGGGCCAGAAACATTGAACACATTAGTGTTTGTGTAAAACCACTACAATATTCTTCCAAAGGACACGGTGGCAAGTGCAAAATGAATAATGCAGGTTTCAAAGGGTAATAAATAACACTTCCTAAATGGCTGAAAATGGCATTTTAACAGCATGTGCAAAGTGTTATTTTAAGAGTTGTTGCACTGCACAATGGCAGAGTATTAATTAATGTAACATTTTGTTCATACATTACCAGCCTATATGAAAATGGAGAAGGAGCATTTACATTCTGAAAAGCATTCACTTGGTGCTTACTGTTAAAATGTTTGTATACTTTTAGACGTCATATAGTTTCATCTGTGTCGACGGCTGAAATATAAAAAGTATGAAATTTCCCCCGCTTGTTGTTTTTGCAGGGTTGTGTATATATGTTCTTGTTACTGTTTACTTGAAGCTGTGGCCTTTGTCTTAGACTATAGTAATCTGTCTTGTGTGTACAGATAC